TTGTGCTATTTCGTGAAGAATGTAGATAGCTGTTGTACCAAAAGAGTTCGACCGAGTCGACATGACACCCACGTATAAGTAATCGGAATTGCAATATATACAACTGTTTGCCAGTTTTAGGACTTATATATAGGCTTGCCGATAAATATTTCACTCGCTTTTTTAAAAGACAGTTGCACTTGTTACGCTTTAACAGACGTGTTGCGAAGTACATAAGAATAGATACTAAGTACCTTTCCCGATATAAGATACCAAAGTTCTTATTTGCCAATTGACTCAAATTACCCAGAAAAGAAAAGCAACTCTGTGTGTCTGTGTGCGTGAAATAAATATAAGTTGGCATTGTGTCCACCTAGCAGATTTAACAGTCAATTTAAACTAAATATGAAATATATGTACAAAATATATGTATATATATATATATATATCTATTTTTGTTATTAATAATAATAATAGTCAGATAAGAAATAGGCTGGTTGGAGTCCAAACACGGTTGTTATCACCTAACAAAATAAAAATTTATTATAAATAATTTACACAAACGTTTCGACTGTGGTTACAGTCTTTCTCAATGGATATAACAGAATCAGTGATAAAAATGATGTTGGTGGAAAGTGTAATGCGTTACATATGTTAACTGACACTATCAAATAACCACTTCATAGTTGATAACATATAACGCATTACACTTTCCATCAACATCATTTTATTATCATTGATTCTGCTATATCTATTGAGAAAGACTGTAACCATAGTCGAAACGTTTGTGTAAAGTATTTATAATAAATTCTCATTTTGTCACACACTATTAACCGTGTTTGGATCAAACTCCAGCCTATTTCTTATCTGACTATTATTATTATTTATAACTTAGAGCCGTTCACATACTTACGATTTTTTTATTGTTTTGTAAACGCGTAAATTAGTATATTTCTTTTACCAGCAGATTTCCAAAGTCATTCTGAGACAAAACTCCTACTATGTAAAGATATGTGTATATAGCTTCAAGAATTTTTTAATAAACAAAAGTATTATGGCTATTAAAGCAAACACAGATGTCGATGTGTGAATAGTTGAATCAATTTATTAAAACTTAGATGCAAAACGTTTTCGACCTTGTATTAGATCTCAATGCATTTAAAATACTGTAATAAAATACGTCGCACAGTGCTGTCAAGAATGTTCAAGTCGCACAAGCAGACCCGACCAACACTTTACAAAATATTTTAGCTTTAACATTAGATATTATAAGATTTTTGTCTCAGAATGACGAAAATATGCTGGTGAAAGAAAATACAATAGTTACAAGACACCTTGTATGTACACGTATACAAGTGTAGTTAAAGTAAGATATTACTAAAATTAATGTGTGTATAACAGTAATGCTTTTATGTATAACAGTAATCCTTTTATGTATTTATGTATAACAGTAATGCTTCAGAAAAGATAGTGTTTAATAAAACATTACTGATTAGTTATCATCAGATTCATGCACACGTTCATGACAAATTTATTCATTGACTGAGGTGCAGCCACGCCAAGTTTTTTTGCCTTAATTATTTTTTTATTTTGACTTTTTACAAAAGGCAAAGTCTACCTATTGATACACTGAGAAAAAAAATTTGTTATGCATACTAAATTTGTATACTTGATTCACCCAATAGTTGACTTAACAATTATTAAGTTGCACTAAAAAAGATGCAGTTCATGTATGTCAACCAACAAAATTTTTTCATCGAGAATTAACTAAACCATTTTAATCAAATTATTTTGTTCAAAATAATAGTAGCATCTATTTGTGTTGCATGCCATTTATTTACTCAGATGATAGATTTATTTAAATTCCAAGTATCAAACTGACTAAATAATTTTATGAAAATTGATAAATATTGTGTATTTGCAATCCAACAGTTGATTTAGATACAACAAAATTGTTGTTAAAATAAATAGCAGAATTTGTCAATTTTAATTTTTAAAAGTAACAAAAAGTTTTGTAAATCTTCAAAAACTTTTTGGTGATTGAACCAAGCGCGATCAAAAATCAAATAAATTAATTTGNTGTTAAAATTTCTTGATTAAGTAAAAATTCTGTTGATTGATATATGATTTAGTTAAAAATAAATATTAATTTTCTTAATAATCTACTAAAGAGCTGAGTTAAATATCACATCATTATCGTATAACGTTAACTACTTAATTTGTTTCTTTTGACTAAAGAAAATTGCAGCTTAATCGTGTGAATTTTGTTCAATTTTTGATCACTGCGTAAGCGTATAATGAACAAAAAGTCGTCAGTTTTGCGCATTTCTCTTGCTACAGAACGTTTAAGCCCATTCTTTATTAAACGCAAGACGCAAATGCAAGTACCAAGAAAGATAATAATGAAACGGAACAAGTATGACAAAGATAGGAAGTCAGTGATGCTATTGGTTGGGTACCACGGATGCGCATGCGCATATTTACGCACGTGAAAATTGGGAGAATTGCGCTACTGTGTATACTGTACTTATGGTATCCCATCATAACCTACAGCAGTTCGCCGTCCTACCTTACATGCGACAAGTGATAAAGTGTAAAGTGAAAGACATGGCACACATTATTCGGTCATGGGGGATGAAAGATTCCGTAGAATCAAATATTATCAAAATATTGGAAGGTATGTGTAACTTATCTTAATTATTTACTGTTTTTATATGTATGTATATGTACTATTTGTTTAAAATATTATGTCTCTTTGTATAATTAGTTTATTACTTCTTGAAATATCGAATATACAGTAAAAAAAACAGTTTTGTTAAGATAACTAAAATTTGGTCAATCAAACCAAAGAAAGCGTTTTGCAAACTAAATTGTGACTGAGATTACAAAATTTTAGTTATTTCAACAAAACTGTTTTTTCAGTACATTTACTACAGCAACACAAACTTTAATTTGTAGAAAATGCAATTAGCGACGAAAATTTATCCGATCTTACTCCAGAGCTTATCAAAGAAATGATACCTCAAATTGGATTAAGAATCGAGTTCTTGAAGAAATGGTCAGCGGTATTTCAAACAGAGAAAATGTCTGATGTTAGTACGCATACATATACATTATGTGCAAAAAAAACCAATTGCTTCATAGTTTTTTCTATTTCTTATATAATTCTATTAAATTTATGATAAGTAGTTACAGACGTTTTTTTTTATATCTTTTTCTTAAAAAAAAACTTATCTTGAACACTTGTAATTTTAAAGTTAAATTCTGACTTGGTTGCAAAAAAATGTTTTAGAGATTTTCCTTCTCTATACAAAAACTTATATATAAATTGCTATATCAGTTACATCAACCAAGTAGTGCGCTTAATGAAGACTCACACATAAAAACAGTTTTTTTATGTTAATTAAAAAAAAAATGGGACTCTTAGATGTGCTACTTAGAAGATTTTTTTATATCGACAACTAACTTTTTTTATCATAAAAGTAAGAAAAAATACCTTTTTTGGCACATATTATACATGAATATCGAGGATCAAATATTTCCGATTTTGAGGAATTACTTTCATTTTTGAGCAATCTTTTTACCTTTATCTCTTACTTACTGACTTAGGTTACGGATTCAAGTGCAGGAACATCTGAAGCATCAGACAATTTTGTATCACAAAGTTCATCTGAGGATGCTTATAGTTTAAAAAGACAGAACGCTTTTAGTGGAAAACTGATGTATGCCTTAAGAACGAAAACTATCGATATCAAAGAAATTCTATATAAGAATATTCAAGGAAAAGCGATTGTAAAATCCTATAAAAAATCCAAATGTTTGTCGCGACAATCTAGAATGCTAATTGTCGACATCATTTTGACAGAAATACTAAATGAAACCATC